GGGTTTATGCCATTCTCCTGCCTCAGCCTCCCGAGTAGCTGGGACTACAGGCGCCCGCCACCTCACCCAGCTACTTTTTTGTATTTTTTAGTAGAGAGGGGTTTCACTGTGTTAGCCAGGATGGTCTCGATCTCCTGACCTCGCGATCCGCCCATCTCGGCCTCCCAAAGTGCTGGGATTACAGGCTTGAGCCACTGCGCCCGGCCAACAGGGTTTCACCATGTTGGCCAGGCTGGTCTCGAACTCCTGACCTCAGATGATCCACCTGCCTTGGCCTCCCAAAATGCTGGGATTACAGGCATGAGCCACTGCACCCAGCATGTTATTATTATTTTTTAATTTTTTGTAGATATGGGGTCTCACTATGTTGCCTAGGCTGGTCTAGAACTCCTGGGCTCAAGCAATCTTCCTGCCTCGGCCTCCCAAAGTACTAGCATTACAGGCATGAGCCACTCTCCCAGCCTCAACCCATTAGTTTATTAATAAAGTCATCCATTGGTTGGAACAAGCATTTCTTCACTCAACCATTGGCTAAGACAATCAAGTCATTTATTCATCCAATCATTGATTAACTTCTTAGAACAATCTGTTCTTCATAACACATTAATCCATTGGCTGAAACAACCATCCATTCATTTACTCACTCATTTACTCATTCATTCATTGCTGTATAGATCCACTGCCTAAAACAAAACCTATTCACTAACATAGCTAGCCGTTAGTGGTAACAACCCACTCATTTGTTCCTTTACCTAGTCACTCTTCCTTTAAGGAGGATGACACATTCATTTACTTATTCTTCCATCCATTTCCTAGGATCACACCTTCATTCATTCCTTCGTTCACTCATTCATTGATCCACACTCTGGGACAAAGCATGTCCATTCATCTGCCCATCCGTCCTTCCTTCCATCCGCCCATCCATCCATTCATCATCTAACCACAACTGAACTAACCCATTCATTGATAATCTGGACTTGATCCCTAACAGGGGATTTCCAGAGGTCAAGGCGGAGGGGAATCAATAAAGATTTCCTGGAGATGGGGATATTTGAGCTGAGCCTTGACGGGGTGTTGGAATCGGACATCCGTTTACACTCATTCCACACAAGCAGCATTCCACGAAGGGAGGCAGAGCCAGGAGTGTTTGGGAAGACTGGATTGGGGACCAAACAAATAGGGTGACACTGACCTTTGCCCCAAACATAGAGGTTCCCCCCAGAGTCCCCCGTGACCACGTCGCCACCTTCCAAAAAGGTCACACACAGCACATACTTCGGTTTCTCATGTTTCTAAGGTGGGGGAGGAAAGGAAGGTTTCAGAGCGTCACTGAAGCAGGTAGCCTCCCAGAGGTCATCTGTCACCCAGGACCGTGGCCAGGGAATCCCCTGTATGCATTTGGGTGTAAGGCTCTTCGTGGAGCATCACTTCTCCCACCTGCCTCCATCCCGCCTGCAGTGCTCCGGTGGCCTAGAGGTTCTGACCACAACTGTCTCGCTTTCCTACCCCTGGGCCCACTTCCTGCCCTCTCTCTGGTCTCCCTGACTCTTTCTTTTGAGACATAGTCTCACCTGTCATCCAGGCTGGAGTGCAGTGGTACATATCGGCTCACAGCAACCTCCACCTCCTGGGTTCAAACGATTCTCCTGCTTCAGCCTCCCAAGTAGCTGGGATTACAGGCCTGCACCGTCACGGCTGGCTAATTTTGTTTAGTTTTTGTTTTTGTTTTTGAGATGGAGTCTCACTCTGTCACCAGGCTGGAGTGCAGTGGCACAATCTCGGCTCACTGCAACCTCCGCCTCCTGGGTTCAAGCGATTCTCCTGCCGCAGCCTCCCAAGTAGCTGGGATTACAGGCGCCCGCCACCACACCCGGCTAATTTTTGTACTTTTTTTTAGTAGAGATGGGGTTTCACCACGTTGACCAGGCTGGTCTCAAACTCCTGACTTCGTGATCCACCTGCCTCCACCTCCCAAAGTGCTGGGATTACAGGCGTGAGTCACCGTGCCCAGCCTGGTCCCCCTGACTTCTCCACTCCTGTCGGCACCTCATTCGTCCTCTCTCTCCTCCTCCCTCCTCATCTTCAGTCTGTCTCTCTACGTCCCCTTCCCTGCCTCACTCCACCTTCTCAGTGTCTCTGTTTCATCCCCATGCCCAGTGTTCTCTGGGCTTCCCTTTTTGGGGTGGAAGCCCCATCTCTCACTAAAGGCAATGAGCCCTATGGGAGGAAGCCCTGTGTCTTCCCACCCTCTGCTTCCCACTCAGTTTGTCTGCCTCAGCTTGTGGCTCTCTCAGCCAGGCAGCCTCCGAGTTCTCTGATTATCCCTCATATTGACAACTGCAGCACCCCAGGTTTTTTTGTTTGTTTGTTTGTTTGTTTGTTTTTTGGAGACAGGGTCTCACTTTGTCACCCAGGCTGGAGCACAGTGGCACCGTCATGGCTCACTGCAGTGTCAACCTCCCTGGCTCAAGCGATCCTCCCACCTCAGCCTCCCAGGTAGCTGGGATTACAGGTGCGCACCGCCATGCCGGTTAATTTTTGTATTTTTTGTAGATATGAGGTCTCACCATGTTTCCCAGGCTGGTCTCGAACTCCTGGGCTCAAGGGATCCTCCCACCTCAGCCTCCCAAAATGCCGGGATTACAGGCGAGAGCCACCTCGCCACAGTACCCATTTATTGAGCATTTACTATCTGCTAGGAGCTGCTACACTCTTCATCCCTTTGAATCCTCACGACTTTTTTTTTTTTTTTTTTTCCTGAGACAGGGTCTCGTTCTATCACCCAGGCTGGAGTGATCACGGCTCACTGCAGCCGTAAACTCAGGCGGTCCTTCCACCTCATGGCGCCCGGCCACCCTCTTAAATCCAGAGTTAAGGCGGATCATCACCATGGTATGGAGAAAGAAACTGAGGCCCCAGCAGGCAACATCTCAGCGTCCCTGTAATCCCAAACCCCTGCCACCCTGTGGGGGATCTTGCTACCTCCCTGCCTGTCCCTGACTACCTCTCTCAGGGCCAGCCTGTCCCCCAAATCCCTGGCACTCACCTCAAAGAGGCCTTGCCGCTTGCTCAAGCTGCCCCCCTCCAAGGTCCAGAAGTAGATGTGAGATTTCCCGCAGGTGATAAGCACAGTGGGGTCCGTGGGGTGGAAGGTGGCCACCAATACAGCCTCGTTGGAGCACTTTGGGGGTGGGGGAGATTCTGAATGAAGATCTCAAAGTCCCCAAGGCTACTATACCCGCCCCTCACAGGACTGCCCTGTACAGCTGTTCGGGTTGTATGCTGCACACCTGAACTTTTCCTTTTTTTTTTTCGAGAAGGAGTCTTGCTCTCTCACCCAGACTGGAGTGCAGTGGCATGATCTTGGCTCAGTGCAACCTCCGCCTCCTGAGTTCAAGCAATTCTCCTGCCTCAGCCTCCCGAGTAGCTGGGATTATAGGCACGTGCCACCACACCCAACTAATTTTTGTATTCTTAGTAGAGATGGGATTTCACCATGTTGGCCAGGCTGGTCTCGAACTCTTGACCTCGTGATCCACCTGCCTCAGTCTCCCAAAGTGTTGTGATTACAGGCGTGAGCCACCGAGCCTGGATTTTTTTTTTTTTTTTGAGTAAATAAATTGAACAAAACCCAAGTTTCCTGCCCCCAGCCAGGATAGGTATGCAACCTGAGGCAAGTATGTCTTCCCCTAACCATGCCTCATCCATAAAATAGGTCACCTTCCAGAGAGGCAAATCGAGACACCACAGGACTGCAGAGTCAGCAGCCACCTCAAACCCACCCTTCTGTTGGGCCTGGTCCACCACACCACATATCCCCACATCCTGACCAAGGCCCTATGAGGAAGATGCTACTCACCAAGGCCCTACGAGGAATATGCTACCATTATCCCCATTTTATTTTATCTATTTATTTATTTTTTTTGAGACAGGATCTCACGCTGTTGCCCAGGCTGGAGTGTAATGGTGCAATCATGGCTCACTGCAGCCTCAACCTACCAGGTTCAAGCGATCCTTCCACCTCAGCCTCCCAAGTAGCCTGTCTCTTATACACATCTGCTGTTGCCCAGGCTGGAGTGTAATGGTGCAATCATGGCTCACTGCAGCCTCAACCTACCAGGTTCAAGCGATCCTTCCACCTCAGCCTCCCAAGTAGCTGGGATTACAGGTGCACGCCACATCCAGCTAATTTTTTTTTAAGTGCCAGGAGTTTTTTTTGTTTTTTTGTTTTTTGTTTTTGAGACGGAGTTTAGCTCTTGTTGCCCAGGCTGGAGTGCAACGGTGCGATCTTGGCTCACTGCGACCTCCACCTCTGAGTTCAAGAGATTCTCCTGCCTCAGCCTCCCAAGTAGCTCGGATTACAGGCATGCGCCACCACACCCAGCTAATTTTGTATTTTTAGTAGAGACAGGGTTTCTCCATGTTGGTCAGGCTGGTCTCCAACTCCCGACCTCAGGTGATCCGCATGCCTTGGCTCCCAAAGTGCTGGGATTACAGGCATGAGCCACCGCACCTGGCCTTTTTTTTTTTTTTAAGTAGAGATAGGTCTCCTTATGTTGCCCAGGCTGATCTCAAACTTCTGAGCTGAAGCAATCCTCTCATGTCGGCCTCCCAAAGTGCTAGGATTACAGGTGCGAGTCACCTTGCCCAGCCTACTATCCCCATATTATAGATGAGGCCACCGAGGTTCTGAGATGACAAGCAGCTTGCTCTAAGTCAAACAGCCAGCAAGGAGTAAAGCCAGGGCTTAAACACGGGTCTATCTCATTGCAGATTCCTAACCACTGAGCTTGGGCAAGTCCCACAGTGGCACCCAGGAGGAGAGGATGAGAAAAGTCACCTCACCTTAACATCCACCACCTTGGTCTCCTTGGCCCAGTCCCACACCGAGAGCATGTGATCATTGGATTCGTCCACTGCGCACAGCAGGTTGCCCCCATTCTAAAGAGGAGGAGAGAGGAGGGGGACAGAGGCAAGGGGAGTCAGGACCCATCTTCCCCCATGCCCATCAAGGCATTCACCACACAGGCCTGTTTTAAAACCTTCAGGCTGGGCACAGTGGCTCATGCCTGTAATCATAGCACTTTGGGAGGTCTAGGTGGGAGGATCGCTTGAGCCCAGGAGTTTGAGGCCAGTCTGGGCAATATAGGGAGACCCTGTCTCTTAAACAAAACAAATTTAAATATTAAAAAAAAAAAAAAAAAGCTGAGTGTGGTGGCTCACGCCTGTAATCCCAGCACTTTGGGAGGCCGAGGTGGGCGGATCACGAGGTCAGGAGATCAAGACCAGCCTAGC